AAAAAAAATGAATGAAAAACTGAACATCAGTAATTGACCTTTGCGGCACTGTTCTGTTTGAAGCTAAACATCTAAGCTTTTTACATATCGCGAAAACCATTTTTGGAAGAGACAAAACGTCTATAATCATTTTTTAAAGGATTTATTTGGCTTATATGGAACATTTGAAATCAGTGTTTTATCTGGAAAATACATCGTTTTTTGAGTCGTCACTTTAATTGAACATCCCTCTACTGTCAGAGTTATTGTAAGTCATCATAAAGATGAAATATTGTTAAGCTCAAAATATAATGTAGTGAAAAGAACCGAAAAGAACCATGCCCACCATTACATGAAAGATCAATTTAACAGCAACTTTATATGGTATTCATGACGTGGGCAAAGTAGTGCTGGAGTGCACGAACGTTGCAGTTTTTAGGATATCCGATTCATCAGGAGCCATCTCATGGTCAAATCAATATAAAGTGTTTAGCATTTTCAATTTCTAATCTCACGGTTCCATTTCTAGCTGTTTCATCATCGAATTTTTGGGCTTCTCTCATAATTTATGGCACATCTGTGAATCTTGGCTTGGTATCAACTCATCAAATTAGGAAAGGCAGAGTGTACGGGATTAATAACGAGATTTTTTGATTATCGAGAGCACCACACTTTGAAGAAGCAGTGCTTTGCTAGTTTACTTGTCGCCTTTAAAATATGAGTGCGCTTTCGGAATTTATAGTAGATGTTCAGTCAATATAGGAGAATTTTAAAATTCCTGCTTTTTTGAAATCAAAAATCAAAAGAACGCTTATATACGTATACGTAACTTAACATAAATCACTAGTCTTGTATTATCTTCAAAAGTTCTCTTGAGTTCTCAAAATGGCCAGCGTTAAGGGACTGGTCGCTGTTGCACACAACATCGATGAATATTCCTGTTCGTTGATTTTAACAAATCTTCAACAAGATAAAATGAATACTGCCTAAGAAATTACACCAATCTATTTGAAAATGATGGCGAACCTTCACCCAGCCTCTTGAGACTTTGCTGACAAGAGCAAGACTTAATGAATATTTTTATACTTTAATTTCTGATGAGATTAATGGCAAATTCTATTAGTATGCTGAATATCCAGAATCTTCAAGTACAATCGATGTTATTATTTAGGTCCGCTTGAAAAACTATTACAACTATCCTCCGACACTCTCCATCGGTAAGTACATTGAAAATCGTCACCGAATCTGGAAAGCTCTTCTGTTTTTGCAGGATGGGGTAGTCAATCGGACAAGCGTGTGATCTCAGATTTCGAAATACTGAACGTTTCACATTACATAACCTACTACAGGCACGGTAACACCACGTCGCTGGAACCATTAACAGCAAATGAAATGGCGGTTTCTTGGTCAAACTTTCTCCTCGTTTACAGTGGGAGTGGCCGAAAGAAAACTTATTTTTTAGGTCGATTCTGCATACGACTATTTACATCAGAAGACACAGCATTATGTTCACAGTCAGTATGCTGCTGCCTTGCTTGGTAAGCTTCATTTAATAGGGAGCATCGCAATGTTTTCACAAATCTAACAATAAGGTTTGCTGAAACCCGCGCGAAGAAGATCTATTTTAATTTTCTCGCCAATATTTAATTAGGAATTAACTTAGCACCCAAATGTAACCTACTTTTATTCAATATGTAAATGGAGATTTTTATAAAAGTCGCACGTTGATGATAAAATCAGACATTTTTGTTACCACCAATATCTACCTTCCCTTACTCGTAGATCTCTTTGTCGCGAAGATAAAATTGTGATTACTCTCATCAATCTGCTCAATTATTTTAAACATTTTTTGTGATAAAAAGCTGCTGATAAACGGTTGATAGCTGGAAAGAGTCAAGTGTTTTTAGTGTCATTTCTATAACTAGTGACCTTTTCGTGGCACATATGTCCGAACATCGCAAGCAAGCAGAAATCTCTTTGAATTCAGGTATCTGCCGCTTTTAATATTCTACCCTTCTTTCTTCCATCACTCAACTATGCAGTCTACACGCTGTTGTCGAATGTGATCATTCAGGTATGAGCATCACTTCAGTTGATCCACAGTTCACAAACACACCGCTCCATCTCTATAGTCCACCCAGACCTTGGCACGAGGTTTCCGAGTGAATCTTGCGAGAACGAATACCCTCTTTACAATGCAAAATTATGATAGAGATAGAGCGATATTTAATGAGGAAAACTCAAATGTCACCAAATATGCTGTCTGATACAAAATTTTATTGTTTCATCTTGTGGGATAACAACTCCTCGTCCACTTTCTTTACGAAGCAGTACCTAAAGAGGATGCATACTGATTCGTGATGATTGCGATGCATTTAGCAGGACTTTCAAAGTTGTAGCTTGATGCTTCATTTACAAAAATTCCACTATCGAATCATTCCTTGTGGAAAACTTTCAGCGGCTACAAGACACATAACTATGCCTGATATCCTACCGATTTTATAATTTTAAGACTTATGTCATAAATATAGTCTTCTCTAGGGCGTCAAAATTCCTGAAAATGCTCCAAATTTTAATGAAACCAGTGCCAAAAAGGGCTCCTCCACATTTAGCAGTTGCAGACAGTAAAGTTGTTCTTGGTAATTTAATGTTAATTTCATAGTAGGTAATAAAATAATTCTTTATGCAGCTCCATTCTTTTGCAAATGTTGTTTCAAATTTCAGCTTTTAGCAAATGAGCACAAGTGAGTACGCCTTGAATGTCTGTTACAAATGTGGATGCTCGCTCTCGTTGTTGCCGACAGCTCATCTTTGATTATTGGCATCCTCAAAGCTTTCAAAACCTTTTTAGTATCTGCATCTATCAGATCTGAAGGGAAGTAAGATGTTACCACTCATGCCGTCAACA